CTTTCCAAAGTCAACTAAAGACATAAACATGATTCAATATCAGCTTTGGCACTAAGGAGCATTCATTTGTTATGAAATATGATAATTTTCTTCTAAGAATGATGAAGGACACTTCCTTCACTTGTTTGATGACGTCTCCCTACAGCCTCTGCAGCGTTGCATCACACCTGACGAGGCTCTGGCTTGACTTTGACATTAGCTAAGAAAAAAAGTGACTGTTATTGTGCAGATTAGGTTAAAAAAACAGCTACTTGGTCTCAACTTTGAGCGGAAATGATGGCGCTCTGCCTAACATCACCACACAGACCGCATTTTACATTTTAATTTCTGATTATAAAATGTGTTCTTTGCTTGCAACAGATTTTGGAGAAAAATTCCCTTTAAATGTTTGAAATCATTAATAGAGAAAAAGCAGTAACTGGCTGCATCATAAAGGCTCCATTACAGTGACTGCTGGTCCCGCTCCATCATGAGCCACATTCAGGACCTAAATCCACTTTGGCCACATGGCTTCCTGGGACGTGTTTGATCAATAACTGATTTCATGTCCAGCGGTCGCTTATCTCTGAAGGTCACATCCCCTCCTCGGGCCTGGGGACAGCTCTGGTCCAGCTCAGGTCCAATTACGCCAGCTGGTTTGAATTCCTCACATCCAGTTTCAGCATGTGTGTGTCTCTGTCGCTGGATTCTGTTCTATGGATCCAAAAACAACTTCTCAGAGTCAAATCTCGCTTTTTGAATCTGTGCGTTACATCAAGGCTTCGCAACAACTGAGAATGACTCGGAGGAAAATGGTTGAATTGTTGAAATTGACGTTTAGATCACAGCTGCTGCTGTTTTCTGTACCTGAGGTCACAATGAGGCTACCCCTGTGACTGATCAGGCTTACATTCACCCCTGCCCCAGAGGTCAGAGGTTAAACACATGGGAGGAAGAGGTTAGATCCCATCTGAGCTGCATTCAGGCCAACCTTTGACCTTTAGCTGCTCTGCTTAAACTCTGTTATTGCCTCCACCCTAAACTGAGGCATAGGGTTAGGGTTTATGTGAAATCTTAGACTTAGACCTAGACGTAGACTTAGACTAAGGGAAAGCTGGTGAACCAGTTTTTGGCACGGTGGGGAAAAAATCATCTTTATTTCATCTGAATGTGAACAACACAAGAGATATGTTTGTAATTCAATTCAGTTTATTTTTATAGCGCCAATTCACGACATGTCATCTCAAGGCACTTTACAGATTCAATTTAACCAGATCATACAGTTAAATTGATTCAAAGTTTTCTATCTAAGGAAAACCAGATGATTGCATTGACTAAGTGATTTTTCAGCAATCCCTCACACTAAGCATGCTTGTAGCGACAGTGGAGAGGAAAAACTCCCTTTTAACAGGAAGAAACCTCAAACAGAACCAGACTCAGTGTGAGCATCATTTTAGATTTCAGAAGAAACAGGAAAGGTTGAATCCTATAAATATAAAACTGGACTGGAGGCGTCATGTTCAGCAAGAAGGTGCATAGCAGAATGGACTCCTAGAGGAAGCCTGTAGCTATTTAAATTGAACTGAATCGAATTACACGAAACTCCCAGTAATATCTAAGTTATTATTCTTTATCAACCTACATCTAGATTACTTTTCTTTGCTGACTCAGAGCATTATTTTGGTATTTTATTTCTCTTCTTGGTATTAATGCTAGAATATATTTAAATTGTTTTGCCATATCACTGGAAGAATGAAATCCTCTGTTAAAACTCCAGAGAGATATCAGAGATAAGGAAGGGATAATTGCTTAAAGTCTGTTTAGGTTGTAGATGTGTCCTGAGATCAAGTTCTAGCTGTCCTTATAGGGTGTGAACGGTTCTGCACTTTAATGGTGCATTTGCACTAAACGTGGAGGAACCAAACAGAGCGAGTGATGCACATGTTATCCTCATTTAGAGGCACGTTCAGGAGAGAAGCGTATCTATGTGAAGGACGTCTCTACATCCACCAATCAGGACCAGATGTGGCTGTGACATAGCAGCACAGCACAGACTATGATTTTTTAACTAAAGTAAAATATAGAAATGTTATTTTAGATGCTCTGTGGAGGTTTTGGATGGCTTAAAAAATTTTGTTTTAATTCAATTCAGTT